TGCGAGCTGACATGGGCCCCAGGCCATTCCAAAGAAACCTGAGGAATTTCAGAATGTCGAGGTCGGAGTATTCGAAATGGAAGAGATCAAGAAAAGTTTTCAACATCTGAAAGTCCTGAGAAAGAAGGTGTCCGTTGACGCATTTGGATGGTTCAACTCTGTGAGCGTAAGCAAGCACTGTTCACATCAAGCTGCTGCCCAGCAGCTCGATGAGCAGTACAAGGAGGCAGAAAGAAAGTTTTCTGAACTTGGCAATGAGACTGCCAAGAAATTGAAGGAACTTTGCCAGGCCGACATGTTGCCTCACACTGGCAACAAAACAAAACTCAGAGAGATTCTCACCCGGCACTGGATGAAGAAATGGGTCGCTGAAAAAAGCGCAGAACAGAAGCCTAAAGCAGGTGGAGAGCCTGCAGGTGAGAAGCCCAGCGACACCACTGAGATCCCCGGTGGCACATCTCAGAATGCCAAAGAGGGTGCATCTGGGGCTCAAAGCATTCTAGCAAATCTGGAACCGTTGCAAAGCGATGGGGCCCAAGATGTGTCACACTTCTTTACTGATGCTCGAGGCGGCCAACCTTTGATCTCTGAAGATGCTGATAACACGCTTGACATTGTCAACGCTGGGGTTGATGGCATCATCCCTGTAGCTGCCTATGTGAAGGTCAAGCAGGGAGTGGATGACGATGCAACGCAAATTGCCTTGTTCATTGGAGGCTCTGGGTTGTGTATGCACATGACGTGGGTTGTGGACACATGAATAGGTGCACCTGCACACGTTTACTCACACATTGAAATGACTCCTGTTCATGTTGGGAACCATCACACCCTTGAGGTGAGGCTTGTTTGACAACCAAACGGATCAAGAGGCAGTTTGTCAAGCGCGTGCTGATGGGCACGGAGTGTAGTTTCAAGCCTAACATGGCCAAAGAAGACATGGAAGCTTTGCCCACTTCTACCTCCTCGAGTTCTTCTACTGCTGGATGGAGAGTCCAAATGATCATCTTCCGTTCTGGTCTAGAGCTTGATGTCAAAGGCTTTCTACGCCATGTTGGGGTGGATGATCCAGACAGCGTCTTGGTTGGGAGGCTGCAGAACAGAGAAGTCCAATTGATCCGCAGTATTCATTGGTCCGATCCAAGCTTCATTCAATTTGAAGGAGAAGATCAGGCCAAACCTTTGCTAAACTGATGTATTGGTTGGGACTCATTTGTGTGAGCTAATATGTCCAGTAGTGTTCTACAGCCTATGTCATGTGGGTCGTGGCTTGGCGGGTCAACCGCTGGCGGGTAGACCGCTTTGTTGCTCTAGTTTATATATATATATATACATATTATAACGATTCCATGCAGTGTGTTGGCAATCACTTGATGTTGTTGTTCCTACATATATATATATAGAGTTATATATAGATAGTGTGTGTGCTCTTTTGTTGGGTCTGCTTTATCAGTTGTTTTAAGGGTTCCTGCAGGTACGAGTCATCACCAAGGGCAGGTATGCTCACCTTCCCATGGGTTTCAGATATTTGAAGGATGAACAGCTGATTAGCTGCACATGGGATAAGTTGTCCTTTTGTTATGACCACTTTGTGGAGACACTATTTGTAATGATGACTGCGCATTTTGGATAGGCTGGCTGGCTGACTAAGGCTTGCCACATCCACAGACATGAAGGCTCTTCCCAAGGTGAATGCTGAGAAAGATATAGAGAGGGCTCGGGAAGCTTACGCGATAAGTGCACAGCGTCATCAAGATTCACTGAACAAAGGCAAAGGGGGTTTCTTGACATGCATGACATGGGCTTTAGGCACTCCAAATCCCCCCAAAGAGAAAACTAATTCTTTCCCTGCCAGATTTGAAAGAAGAAGAGCGCATCAAGGAATCGTTGGCCAACAAGATCTCAGAGGCGAGCAAGCTGGATCAAAGACTGCAGGAGATTGCAAGCGCCACCAAAAAAATGAGCAAGCTCCCAATCATTGCCTCGGATGAGTTGCTCGATGGACACTGTTTGGCACATGCTTTGGGCCTTTCTGCAGCGGAGCAACCCATGGACGAAGCTGAGGACTTTGTTCTATTGCTGGCCAAGGAAGCGCTGGAAGACCCTGATCCAAACTTGGAGCATCCCGATAGCTGGACCGACATCAAGACTTTGCAGTTTCCAGGCCAAACATGGCTGAAGCAGGCATATTTCCTGCAGCATGCAATCCAAACAGAGATGAAGGAGGTCAACAAGGAGTACCAGAAAGTTGCAAAGAAGTCCGAAGAGATGAAGAAGAAGCGCGACAGGCTTCAAGCAAGGAAGCGCCAGCGTGATGAGAAGACAGTTGAACATTTTTGTCATGCTGCTTCTCCTGGCAGAAAGGCCAAACAACTGTCCAGAAGGAATCAAATCAATCGCATCCGAAAGGGGGTCAAAAAGTTGAAGCGTCGACGGGAGAACGATGAGAGAGGAAAAGAGGCCTGGGTGCTGCCAAGGGCCTATGTCATCGCACATTGGGGGGGGGGTTATTGATGAGATTGCAGTTGCTGTTTAGTATCTTGCAAACCCACACACAGAACGGCTGTATGCTTGCAGGTGGCAGAGGCAAGGATATCATTGACCATCAAGGAAAAGCTCAAGATCTGCAGATTTGCTGAGAAAGTATACCAAGAGCAGAATGTCTCAAGAAAGGATGATGGCACTTACAAGAAGAAGAAGGGCTTGAATATTCAGGCTGTGTGCCAGCAGAAGTTTGGATCCAAGCTTGGAGGAATCCGAGTTCCGCGTTTGCTCAAAACTGCGAGGAAGATGAAATGGGCTGAGCTCACTGAGTCTCAGCAAGCTCGAATGCATCACTTAACAGACAATTTGAAACAGTCCATGGGCTTGAAGGAATATGTCAAAGGCTGGAAATGCCTCTCACAAGCGGAAGTCCAAGAAGCTGGCAAGATCCAGCGGTGGAACATTCCTCAACAAGTCCTGAAGGACAGTTTATGTATGTTAATGTATATTCTTACTTTTTCCAGTAATCTACAAATGTGTTTGGCACACACACCCCCACACAGCCTATGTCATGGGCCCCTGGAGGAGCTTCATGATGCTATGGTGGCTCATTGTGAGGGAAGAACAGCAGTCACACAGAAAAGAGATAGAGTCTTGAGCAGACAACTGGCCGGGTCGAGAACACTGTTTGCTGGTTTTCAATGTTTAATTCTCAGTTGAAAGTTGTGGCTGTAAAAGGTTTTTCAAGTTGTTTACAATTTGATCGCCTGGGGCCATGTCATGTGCGTTCAGTCGCAGGTGGTCACTGCCAACAACATTGTCAAGGAGTACAACGATGGACTCCAACAGGCACAGGACATGGTTTCCGAGCACAACAAGGCCATGGTCAAGGACTTGATGGCTGTGGGCGCGCCCTTGGCAACGGTCCGTCGATCATTGCTTCCTGAGCCACAACCCTGTCCCAATTTCACACTGCGTTCCATCAAGAGGTTCCTGCAGTTGTTCTCCTGGACCAAGAGGTCCCTCAACGCACAGGGGAACTACCTGGAGTACACAGACCCACGGCTGGTGGCATCGAGGAAACAACTCAACCAGCACATCCAAGAAGGCAATGTGCACAAGCATTTAGTGCTGAACTTAGATCAGGTGTGGAGGCAATCGATGCGTTTTGGTAGATATGTCTACACGCAAAGGACTGGCCGTCCCTTGGCTGCTGGCTGTCATAAGAGTTTTTGGTAGTCTACATGACAAAGGCTCCTCTTCTGTTGTTGGGCCTGAAAAGAACTAAGTGGCAGCCCATGCTTTTAGACCTCGACTGTCATAAGAGTTTCTGGTAGGCCACATGACAAAGGCCCCAAAGAACCAAGTGGCAGCGCATGCTGCTACACCTCAAGGTGAGAAGCAGCACGGTGGGCTCATCGCCCGCCACGATGCGTTTCCTGGCCATAGGTTCTCCATCACCGCTGTCACGAGTTCTTGGTCGGATGGCTCAGCAGGGCCATTGGGCTTGTGCGTTCCTGATGGAGCTTTGTCCAAGGCGTTTATGGAGCAGTGGAACAGTGACCACGTTGGCACTGCGTATGTGTTCACCAGTGAGCGCAAAGGTCATTTCATGACCGGGGCTACATTCTTGCAGTTGTTGCAGGAGCTTGTCACTCCTGCTCTTGCGCTTCAACGGAAGAAACTGCATCTTGATCACTCAGTTCCTGCACTGATTTTGGCTGACGCTTGGTCTGGATACCATGGTGTCAGCAGCGGATTAGATCAAGCGCGGAAACTGTGGTCGGACACGGCGAACTGCAAATTACCAGATTTACAGGCGGGCGGTTGGTCAGCCTGCTGCCAACCAGTAGACCAACTGCATGCGGTTTTCCGCTCACACATCGACTACCTAGACGCCTCAGATGTTGGCTGTGTTGCTGATCTTCGCAAGCGTCAGCAATACTCAACCATGCCAATCCGCTCCAACGGACAACCTCAACACAAGAAGCTAGACCACCAGTCATTGGTGACTCGCACATTGCTTGCATGGCAAGCAATGCTAGGGCCTTACTTGTGTGTGTGTGTCCAGGGCCTTTGTCACTGGTGCAGGGGGGGGTCACTTGTTTGTGTGAGCTCATATTTCCAATAGTGTTCCACAGCCTATGTCATAGGTGTCTTTGTTTGGCGGGTAAACCGCTGGCGGGTAGACCGCTTTGTTGCTCTAGTTTATATAGACTTTATATAATACAATATATAATGACTCCATGCAGTGTGTTAGCAATCAGTGGATGTTGTTCCAGCATGTAATGTTCTTTTGTTGGGTCTGCTGTATTAGTTGTTCCAACGGTTCCTGCAATCTGCTTGTCCTGAGGCCGCAGTCTACATTCAAAGCAGCTTGGATCACCTGTGGCTATTTTGGAGATGACCACTTTCCAGATATGGACCACAAGGCAGCTGTCAAAATAATTGATGCCACTGGGTTGTATCGCCATTGCGGCATTGCCAATGATCTCGGCGGAGTTATGCCATCGCACCAAAGGACTGAATTTTTGAAACAGTTTCTTTGTAGGGACCATTTGGGACGCAAGGACATGACATAGGCCGTAGGCGGGTTGGTTGGGTCAGGACATATTGGGCAGTTGTGAATGAGGATGGATCTCAAGCAGCTTTGCCAATACTGCTTGCCAGACATGTGGAGCGGCGTCTGTGCCAGCACCGGAGAGACAGAAAAGTGTTGATCGACAGGAAACCAGTGAAGGGGGAGGAAAAGCTGAGAGAAACAAACTCCAGAGAGATGAAACTCATTTACAACAGGCGCACAGGCCTCATGGCAACGGAGAAGCAAGCGAAGGTGAAGGGAAGGTTTTTGGAGGAGTTCGCCCTCAACATGACCCTCACCGATGCCAATGACGGCATGTACTTTATGAGCAGCCCCAATTTTCCCAAGAAACGTCTTGTTTGCACGCGCTCTAACCAAGAGATCAGTGGCATGGACTTGCTGAAGCAGTGCTACGAAGGCTGGGCAAAGTCTGGTCCAACCTTTTCCAACCCTAGATGACATGGGTTCTGGCGGATGTTTTTCTTTTTGCAGGTCAACCTTTTGAGATTTGCCTTCATAGATAGGGATATGATTTCATCACTCACATGACATGGGCATGGGTGGTGCAGAATGTCGTAGGCGAGGAAGTCGATGAGTCTGAATCAGAAGCAGAGACCATTGCCGATGGGATGCTTCCACCTCAGGACGCTTTGCAGCAACATCACGAGGACTTGGAAGCTGCTGCTAACGATGAAAGCGGGAGTGAGGACACCGCTGACTATGATGGCTACAATGCAGCCAGTTCTGGAATTGAGGAGATGGATGATGAGGGTGAAATGGAAGAATCTGAGGAGGAAGGTGCCCCAGAGCCCATGTCATCCGCACCTGAAGGTGGCTTGCTTGGGAGGGCAAAGCAGTACCATTTGTCCAATGAGTGGAACGAGCTAGTGGACATTTCCAATAAGCACGGCTACGACTACACAAAGCTTCCTGCTGTGGTAGGTGGTGGAATACATCGACATCCTTCAGGATCCTTTTGGAGCACCCGGTTTCCTGATGAAGCCTGGACCACATGTAGGTGGAATGAAACAAGGACTCCATTCCAGGCCATGCTCCGCGTCATCAGGCACTTCATCAAATTGTACATCCGTGGTGCTCCAGCTGACATGCATGCTTGGAAGGCACACCTTGGGCATCTTGAAAAGCTTGATGCATGATTGGTCCTTTGTCACGTCTCTCCAGAACCTATGTCATGTCTCTCCAGGGCCTGCTCTCCAGAGCTTTTTGCTTCAAACGGATTCTGCCATGAGAATGCTTCAAAAAGGACCAATGGCGGGTGTCGCTGGATAAACCTTACCTTTTGCTAGGCAAAGCGGTGCTTTAAGCGTCTCTACTTTTCCAGGATTTGTATGATAGAGTTCCTGTTGTGACGTGTGCCGCCCAATTTCCACAAATGCAGCCAGCCCTGTTGGCGGTTAACCCGCTTTCTTCTTGATGGATATACGCAAGCAATACCAGATATAATCAGTGTTTGTGTTGTGGTTTGGCAGCTTTCCCTCTAATTTGATTGCACGTGGAACAGCCAGCTCTTTTTGGCAGATGTTTTTCAGAGACTGCAGGACATATCTCTTTTCTTTCTGTTGCTGGCTGAACCTACTGTACATATTTTTCTTTTGGCCAAAACGACCTCAGCCGCCTCCAGAGACAAAGGATGCTTGCCATCCAGCTGCTAATGTTTCAGGAACTTAATATGCTTTGAATCCAACTTGTGGAGGACATGACATAGTCCTTACGTCTACCTAGCCCTATGGGCACAACCTTTGTCATGTCAATGTGGTTGGTGTCTACCTCCTATGTCATCTGTCAAACATGCTGTTTCTAAGCTTCGGTGGATCCCATGTCATCTGCGCCTAGTATAATGTTTCCTACTATCACAGTTTAGTAATCTACTCATATTTTTACTATGGCGTAATGATAATTATTGTCATCATCAAAAATCTTTAACAAATCAATTTCATATTTAGCATTTTTGTTTTTAGTTCCTCTATGTAAAACTATTTTTTCCTTCAAGCAGTCATCAGGTTCAAAAACATTTATTGAAACTTGCTTATTGTTTTCTTCAAACCGGTCTATGTCCCTATTCCCTGTAGGAAATTTAACACCTTCCCAATTCAAAATATTGTCATTTAACTTGTTATAGTGGAGCATCTCTTCTGGATGATTTTTACTGATTTTGTCAAAGACTATACATTGGATACAGTATTTGAATCATTTTTGGTCTTTATTTTTTATGTTGATACACGCCTTTTTAAGTTTAATCCATTCTGGTAGTTCTATATACCTTCCCGCTCTTGTAGGGTCATACTTATCAAAATGAATGGTTATTGAAACAATCTTTTTAAATACTAAATTGGACTTTGTGCCTTCTAAATCTTGAATTTTCAATATAAAATATTTGTTGAACACTATTTTCTAATGCTTGGTTTAACTCATCCTCATTATGAACATTGTAGCGTGTTGCTGGTAATTGATAAAGGTGTTCACTTGTAGCAATTTTATTTCCTCCATCATTATATTCAGGTTTTTCAAATAAACCTTCCGTTCTGATGTTAAGTTTCATGTTTCTATTATTTTTAAAGAAGTCTCTTAATCGTGATTTTTGATGAGCAATCATTTCCAATCCTCGGACATCATTTACTCTGAATTTGTTTCTTATTGCCCTTCTGGTTAGGTAATACTTTTGCTCGTCCAAGGGTGTAAGCATCTTTTGCTTTGTTTAAGGCATAACCAATGTTTTATATTTCCTTTGCTTTATTGTATCTAAATGTCCTACCATCTATGATTGTTTGCTTTATATAATTGTTTTTTCTGCTCTTAGGTATTTCTGCTAAATCATTATTTAATAGATAATCTATAATTGTTTTTATCATATAATACTCTATATATTTTGTTAAGTCATTTAACCTTTAAGTTTTTTTATGTGAATGATATTTTTTGTTCTTTGAAAAAGTTTGTATTATTGTCCTTTGTTTTGTTCTTTGTACTGTTGGTTTGTTGTTCTGTTTTTCTGGGAAGTGTTTGATAAGAGTTCTTTGGAAATACATTTAAGAAAATGATATCTTATATTTTGATGGAGAGATTTTGTAGATATTGTGTCAAGGATTTACCTATTGATAATATTGAAGAAGGGTTTAAAACTTGTAAAAAATGCTTAGAATATAAAAGAGCAAACCGTGATAAACATAGACATAGAGATAAAGTAAATGAAGCACAAAGAAAAAAACTATGAAGAAGATGAAGAATATAGAAAAATAGACTGGAACAAAACCATAAATCTAATCTAAAAACCATTACCTGTTCTGTTTGTAATTGTTCAATAAGGCAACAATGTTACTCAAGACATCTTAAAACAAATAAGCATCAAAGAAATTTAGGCAATGGTCAGTAGATAGGATTTGATAAACATGAATGAGGTAATGATGCTTTGACTGCTCTGATTTTATATATTGAATAAGGTAATGATGCTTTGACTGCTTTGATTTTGTAAATTGAATGAGGTAATGATGCTTTGACTGCTTTGATTTTGGCATGGTTGATTAAAATGAAGAAATCAACCATATTAACAATCTGGCTTTATCCTGTTTCATTATATTTTCAATAACTTCACTGAATTGTCGTTTTGATCATTTTTTCACCCACCCACCCACTCGCCCACTCACCCACCCACCCACCCACGCACTCGCTCGCTCGCTCCCCCACCCACTCCCTCACTCCCTCCCTCACTCACTCACCCACTCCTCCGCCTCACTCCTCACTCGCTCCTCCACTCACTCCTCCACTCACTCCTCCAGTCACTCCTCCACCCACTCCTCCACTCACTCCTCCACTCACTCCTCCACTCACTCCTCCACTCACTCCTCCACCCACTCCTCCACTCACTCCTCCACTCACTCCTCCACTCACTC